TACAATTGTTTAGCAATCTTTTTAAATCCCTTTCCCAGACTCATAGGGGCCTATAATCTCCTTTTTGAAGATTATGAGAGCTCTTTTAATCTAGACACAGTGATACCTCACATTTCAACAACAAAGAGCAAACAAACTAAATATCTGAGGTTTCAATAAGGCAGGTTCAGTCAAGATCTTCTCTAATAATGTTCCAATCCTTTGTACCTGATCTGGTGCATTTCTAATTTTAGGTATTTGATCTAGTGGTAAATCTACAAATGTGCTTACTTTTCCCAAATGTGAAATGTTTATGTTTGTATGTTTTTTTCAATCACACAATGCACTACAAAATGTAAGTACTGCATAAAATCAGTTAAGTGATATCATATTTATATCTAAGATAGTTTAAGTTTGTATTGAATGAATGAATCCTGCCATTTTAAAATATATCAATTGATATAATATTGATATTCAATGAATAATAACTAATGCCACTAGATAGGATTCCAAATTTACTCAGTTACAACCATCCACATATTTAAGGACATTAAAAAAAAAAAAGATTGCCACTCCATTCTTTCATATAGCTGTATTGCTTATTCCTAAAATGTCATATTTAATACCTTTCAGCGTTGTCCATTTTAAATTTTCTGTTGTCCAGGCTTCTTACATGTCATAATCCACTACATAATTTCTTGATTTACAATTCCTTTTGAAAGGTGGTTCAGTTTACTTCACACTCACACAGCCACCCCTGTCTTTGCCAGTTACTGAGCCTAAGGAGCCCTTAGCTTCATTCCCTCACCCCCACCTTAGAACTTCCCTGGCAAAGCTGACCTTTAAGGAACTCATAGGTCTATCCTCACTTTCATGTTATTTGAAGTTACTGAGCTTTTCTACCATATCAAGGTTATAATCTCCTGGAAGGGTATTTTGAATATATCTCAGTAAATATAAGAACAATATAGCAGCTATTTTAAAAGCTAATACTTGGATTCTCAGGAAAAAACTGAATTAGGAACAGTTGTAATATTATCAGAGATATACAGTAAAATTAGACTGTCATTTTTCAAATAGTCCATTTAACAGGCCAAGGACAACATGTAAGATAGAAGGATTATGAAAGGGCTGCTATTGTTCATTGTTAAAATGAAACCAACTAAATATATTGCTCACTACTTAGATCATTTGATTCCAGACTTGAATATATATTTAATAATGCTTCTGATAAGAATTTTAGTTCAGTAGATTATAATCTAGATACTTAAATAGAAAGTAAAACAAAGATGCTCACATTACTCATTCTTTGGGCTACAAAAATGATTATGCCTTGACTCCTGCTTATGATTTAAGGTAATTCTAAGAACATATTTCTGTTTTAATATTCCGTATTATTCATTTGACAGACAGAACTTTATTTTGGTCAAATACTATCAATAAAATGAAAACAATCTTCTAACAAGAACTACTATCAACCATTTGTACGGGACTCTTATACATAACATAGCAAAATTTTGCTACTTTTAGATAAATACACTTATCTTTATTGTTTTATAGATAGTGCAGATAAAAGCTGTTAGAGTCCCCCAGAAATTTCAATAAAAGAAATCAATCACCAGTTAATCAACTGGTATTTCATATGAGGTTTCCTGTATTTCTCTTTCAGGACAGCTGTGGGAAGAACATGAAATCAAGCTAAAAATAAAGCTCTCTCAAATTTGGGAACTGTAATATGATTATGAGGCAGGTTCAGATATTAAAATTTGGTTATTTACAGTTACAATATAATTGAGAAGATTATGAAAGAAAGCAGCAATTTATGTTTGATCTTCTACATCTAAGATCCTTTGCCATAGTATTGATCTAGCGCGATCTAACTATAAGGTTAAGCTGGCATCACTGGAGAAACTATGCAAACTTGGTTTCTTTTGGATCACAGTTTTTCCCTAATATTAGATAGGTCAATTCACTGGGATTAGGATGGTCATGGATCTTCATTGATAGATACTTTAATTACTGGACACAAAAAAGGAAGATCAATGGATTTCTCCAGGAGTGGTAATGACATATATGCCTAGAATCCATTACTACAATAAATGATTCCAGAATCCCTGTTAGAGCAAGCCAAACTATCCTTCAGAGTTAGACACCTTTCATAGAAATCGTCAGAAGACTTTCTTTCTCTTTAAGACTACATACCAATTTCCTACAAAGTACAGCGTGAAGTCTTATGTGTCTCAGCTTAAATTGGTAAGATAACAATTTGACAAGCATTGATTCTTATAAGATTACCGAAGGAAATGTGCAGGATATGCAGCAAACACAAAGACTTTCTTTTTTAACAAACCTATAACTAACTGATCTGTGTATAACAGCAATTATAATAGAACATGATATTCTGAAAATCTTATTCTTTGCCTACGCTATATCTTTTTATCCTGGTAGCAAATCTTGCCAGGTTTTAATTGGGCATTATATTAGATATATTCAGCGTGACTGCATACATTTGTTTTAGCCTGTTCTAAAACTGCATCACATAGAAAGCAAGGTCAGAAGTTAGCTCTTAAAAGCAAGTAATTGATGTTGTGCGGATTTCATTTACTGAAAAATTATGCAGAATTTCCTCAGTTGCAGGAAGCCTGGCAAATGCCAGGGTGAGGCAAGGAAAGAGCAAATTGGAAACGATGGATAGCAGTTGGGAATTTCCGACACTCAACAACCTCCAAGAAAAACTGAGTGAAACCCCTGGTAAGGGAACAGCAGGGAAGACAATTGCAAAACCATGCATTTGAGAAATTTGATTTTTCAGCAGTACAGGTACCCTTCAATTTACAAGTATTCGTTTAGCAACCATTTGAACTTACAACAGCACCGAAAAAAGTGACTTATGGTGATGCTTGCGCTTAAAACTGTTGCAACATCCCTACCGTCACGTGGTCAAAATTCAGGTGCTTCGCAACCAGCACGTATTGACGATGGCTGCAGTGTATCAGGGTCACGTAATCACCATTTGTGACTTTCCCAGCCAGCTTCCAACAAGCAAGGTCAATGGGGGAAGCTGGATTTGCTTAGCGACTACACAATTCATTTAACAACTGCAATGATTCAGTTAACAAAACTGCCACAAAAAGGTCAAAAAAAAGCAGGCATGACTCACTTAACAACCACTTTGCTTAGCAATGGAAATTCTGGTCGCAACTGTTCTCATATGTCGAGGACTACCTGCATTTATTTCTGTTTGTAAAAAGATGCAATTGCATCTAATCCAGACAAAAGATATGAATCAGCAACAGAAGCAGTCAACTTTAGTCTAGCTGAATGAGAAAACTAAAACATTTAGTAAGAGGCTTTCATTCAAACCTTTATATTAAAAAAAAATAAAGAGTCTTATCACTTAGGTAAATTATCTAGAATTATCTTGCTACCTAGATATGTTTGAACTAGAGACACCCTCCACATTCCTATAGAAAGCAATGCTGCATGGGCTAATAAATATGTACAAATGTCATGGTTCTATCTTCAGTTTCAGTATGTACATTTTTGCTTCATATCACTATATCACTACTAGACTATGATGTATTTCTAACCGAACACTATTTAGAGACCAGTCAAAACACTACACTGTGTGCACACTAAAATATTTTGCCAATACTGACATCCATAATGTAAAACCTCTATAGACAAGAAGCCAAAAGAAGGAATGGCAGGAAGAGAATTCATTATTCTCCCAGCTAAATTCAGTGCTTGATAATGTATGCTTGGATTTGGAAATCTCTATGATCTTTCCAAAGCATTCTAATGCACCCAGATATCTTTCTACTGATCAAAAGAACAGAAAAATCATATGACACAAATTAGGGCCATCCCTATCTTTGAAGGGATACTTTTATTTTGCTATAACTGTTCGTTATTAGTTTTAAAAACTTTTCCTTCTGAGAAAGAAAGCTAGTATCACAACCTGCCTATAATAAGCGAAAAAGAGCTGAATAAATTTTGTTTGAACTGTCAACCAAAGAAAGCATTTGTTTAAAAAAATTAACTACAGTATGCTTAGCTGCATTCACATATGTGATCTGAGCACCCTCTACTGTGTAAAATTATTCATAGCAGAAATAGAGAATTAATGCTACCATATTATCCCAGAGCTGTATTTCTCCAATGTATTTCTCCAGCCACACTATCAAAAAAATTTAGTCTCATCCATGATAAAAACAAAATCTCCTTTTTTCCCCAAGCAAGACATTTATTCAATGCTAAGATATACAGTAAGAAAATGTTCTAATTCTGAAAGGGTAACCCTACCTCAAAGGAAAGCAAAATGGTGGAATAAAGGTACTCCTGCATACAAATAGCATAAACAAAATGTAGTTTTGCATCCCATTTACCCTTCTTATTTCATTCTCATTCATTGCCTACAACTTCCTTTCATTAACTATCTTCTTACCAGATAGTTAGATCTGGTGTAAAGTCAGAAAGAGCTACCTTTGGAAAGGTGGGAAGATAAAGTTAGTCAACACATCTTGACCATTACTAGCTCACTTTGGATGATGCTGACCAGAACGATACTTCAACCTTTGCTATGAATACAAAGCTTAATGAAGAAGAGGCCAAAGGCCCCCGATTCCATACACAGGCTTATTCAATCCCAGATCTTGGGAACTATCACTTACATACGTTTGATCTATTTTCCATAGCAGCCATAGATATGGATAATGTAGATGTTCTCAGCCAGGCCATCACCAATAAAACTTATACTTAGGGGGAAATTGAGGGGGGGGAAGGAAAGGGGGGAATGAGGGGGTAGAGGGAAATTGAGAGGTTTTTTGACAATAATTTAGCAGTACTCCACTCTCTGTATTAATGTGCAGGCGTTTCCTAGTTTGTGTTTACTTGAAAGTATTCCACAAATAAAAACTGTAGGCATGTTTTAGGAAATGAACCAGATAATGTTTAAATAAAAACCTAACAAAACATATCTGAAATATAAAACAGGGCCTTAATAGCTTAAAAGTAGTTACCTTTATTGAAGAACATGGAGGCCATCTGACCCATTTCTACCCTTTCGGTGATTTCAAAAATATTAGGTGTTCCTCGTCTCTCTGAAAATTAGAAGGAACGTTTTAGACCCATAATAAGTCCAAACTATTCATATTATAAACCATTTCTTTCACAGGTAGTCCTCAATTTACAACCATTTGTTTAGCAACTATTACAAGTTACAATCACACTGAAAAAAATTAGTTACGGCCGATCCTCACACTTATAACCATCAAATCCTCCCCACAACCACCTGATCAAAATTAAGCCACCTGGCAATCAGCTTTACAATGGTTGCACTGTCCTGGGGGGGTCACATGATCACCATCGGTGATTCTTTTAGGCAGCTTCTAACAGGCAAAGTCAATGGGAGAAGCTGGATTCGCTTAACAACATGATTCCCTTATCAACCGCAGTGATTCACTTAACAACTGTGGCTATAAAGGTCTTAAAATTGGGCATGACTCACTTAACAACTGCCTTGCTTAGCAATGGAAATTCTGATCCCAATTGTGGTCATATGTCAAGGACCTGTATCTTGCTTATGAAGTACCAATATGCATATATACATGTAATAAAAAGGAAGAAATGTTGCAATAGATGCATATTTTTAAGCTCATTTTAAATTGTTTTATAGTTAAATTGCTCAATCTTCTCTTGTTTTTCATCCTTTAAATGACTCTTTTGGTTGTACTACTGAGTAATGTACTTGATTAATTTTGGGCCAGAATTAAGAAAAAAAGTCTCTCCTTCTTCCCTCTCTGAAGGAGAACAGCTGCTTAAATAGGCTGGAAGATTTGGTTGATGACCCAAAAGAGTAAGTAGCAGGGGGAAAAAAAGCTATGTTCACGATTTTAAAGACCCCAATGATTTACAAATTTTAGATTTTTTGATTTATGAAGGTAAACGTGCAAAACATGGGAGTAGAATGTTTTGGAGCTCAGGCAGAGTTTTGATGTTCTAGTTCAAAACATAAATCCTTCATAATTAATCCACACGATGCAATAATCTGTTTGAAAAATTTGACAAACAACATGCCACAGATGTGAAGCACAGTAAATAATTTCAGGATGACGTAAAGCCATTAGGAGGACTATGCGGTAGAAATAATCCACTATTTCTACATAGTTCTTATAATATTCAACAAGATCAGTCCATGGCAGTCTTATGGAGAAACATACGCATGAGATTCCCCCCCCCCCATTATTGCTAGAATGTAAGGTTAAAATTGAAACTTCTTATCTTACACAAAGAAACCAGTCCCATTGTTATACAACAATAACAGTTCAAAACCATATCTTGAATTTATCAAAGCAGGTAGAATCTTTGGAATGAAATGTGAAAAAGATAATTTTTCTACACTTGTTTTCACAAACAGTCTAAAATCAGAAGTTATTCAGTAAAATTTATTTATCAACAATATTTTCTTCCCTTTTGATATGATATTAATCCAAGACATGAGGGAAGAAGGAAACTAGAGTTTACTATCAGTTAAACTCTATAACCTCTGAGAAGGGAAGAAAGCAACATGGTGCAGATATTGTCTTCAAGTGTTTTGTACAAGGCTGAAAATTACACTATAAATGTCTCAAGCAAATTATGTTAGTTGGAGAGGAGTTGTCATGGGGAGCTTGGAAGATTATAATCTGGAGAAAATGGAAAATTATAATATTGATACAAAGCAATTCAACAATGAGCTTGTTTGATATGGGAGCCTGAAAAGATTTGAATTCATAACTCCCATTTGCTTGCAGAGGCTTTGTACTATACAAGGAATAGATCCAGCTTTTGGCAAGTCCCTGTTTACTTGGAATTTGATGATGATATATAACAAAGGCAAGAGAAAGGGAAAAGAAGAAAATCAAGTAACACTCCTGTGCCCCAAACAAAATAAACTAAAACAAATCACCATTTGTTCTAGGTAATTAAAAATAATCCTATAGATGCTGCAAGAGTGAATTCAAACAGATTTTAAGACTAATGAGTTTCCATTAAAGTTACTAAAGATTGATTGAAGATCATAAAGAGCAAATGAAACCTAAAGGAAATAAGTGATTTTATAGTTTTGTCTGAAGGTAAAAATGTTTTATATATTGATAGCAAGTACTGCAGCAACAGTAAAAAGCAGTTTAAGTGGTTGTAAAATCTTCAGTCCAAGTTGGAGCAGTAATTGAAGTCAAGAAGAGAAGTCACATACACAGACCAAAAAAGTTGGCTTCTAAACTATTTGAAAGATGATTTCATTCTAATTAAAATGTGATGTATATTTCTGATTGTTGTTATTCACTGCAATTACACAAAATGAACTGTTAATAAGCCAATCAAATTTAAAGAAGTAGAATATGGTAAAGTTGGGAACCTACTAAATATGATACTGTACCTAAGCTCGATAAGAAATGGAGTAGAAAGTTCATATCCTGATTTTAAATAGGGAACTGACCAATCATTGATATTGATGCAACAGAGCAGTTATTTTCTAATATATACATCATTATTAGAATACATTTATCTTCCATTGTATAGAAATAGTATCATTAAAAGGAAAACTAAAACCAGGGAGAGCCAAGCCAGCTACTCAAGGGAAGAGAGATTGCCAATCTTGATGTGATCTTCTGTTCCAACGCTTTTGAAGGTTTTGGTAATCAGATTATCAGGGAACCTGGCCTCATAATGTTACGGATTAATGCTAATCTTCTGCAATAAGACCACCTTCATTCATTATTTAGTGATGGACAAGCAGGGAGATCTGGCGTATATTACTGAAACCAGTGAGAATGGGGATGTTGTTTGTTCTGAGAGTTATTCAACTATGTATCCAACATTGCAAAGAAGGACAAAATATGCATATTACAAGGACACCATTGTTGCAAGCAATGTGGCCTGGAATCAAGAAAAATATTTTTTAAATATGCATTTTGGTCATCTGCAAAAGAAGAACAAGCTTTCTACTTTGATAAATTATTATTTTTTAATTAAAATATGGTTTGTAAAGTATTACAAATGTTTGATTTGAATACACACTTGTATTATTTACAGAAAGTTTAAATAAAGGATAAGGCTCTTTTTTTCACTTGCCTTTGGCATTAGCAAAGAACTGAGAAAGATTGGTTCTTACATATTGTCAAGATGAAAGTAGAATCAGCTAGATACTTACGCACAGATAGAATAGGCCGTGTTTCTGATCGTTCATAGACATCTGGGAGAACTTCACTATCAGAAACTTCAGATGAAGAATCTTCTTCATCATTGTCATCTTCCTAGAAAAGTAAGACATTAATCTCAAAAATGAAGGATTATTGTAGAATTCTGATAAGTAAAAGAAAATTAAGCAGTAAATTAAAAACGCATCTACTAGCTGGAGAAAATGCAAAATTCTTTAGCTATGGGTCTTTAAGATGCTTAGAATTCCAGTTCCTCCATCATACTGAATATCGAATCTATTGCTATATTTTAAGGGCAGGCACAAGAGCAATTTTAAAAGTTTCCTACGATGTAACAGTACGATTGGAGAGATATCAGATTAAGACATGCCACACAAACCTTGTGCTTTTCCATTCTCTTTAAGTGTAGCTGAGCATTAGCTGCAGCCATGGCTTCCATTACAAAAGTTGTTGTCATGTAGCTATAAGAGAATTAGAAAATATCAGTTATTTAAAAACAAAAATGATTCACAATATCCCATTTATATTAACACGTTCATTTTAAAGCTCTATTCTGAGGAGTTTTCAGGCAATGTTGAATATTGAAAGCAAAGTTAAATATGATGCAGGCAGCCAACTTTTTTCCAAATATGCTTTGTATAAAGCAGGGGTGGAACTTTAATTTTTATATTTGGTATCAGTGAAGAATTGGAGAACTCAAGTAAGTTTGTCTTCCAATTCTTAGCTTCCCTTGACACTTTGCTTTTCTCCCAGCCATCTTCAATGGTAGGAGTCAATTGGCAAAGCTTAATAAAATTAACCTGACTAAAATATTGTAGATGGATGGAAAAGACACATTTGGAAAATGCAATGTTATGTATTTGTGACAGATTTTATTCCAACGTTTTCAAGGAACTACAAAACTGAAGTTAAAGAAAGGCTAGGTATGTTTCATTTTTTCCTCTTCTGTTCAATTTTGTCCAATTGTTTGGACACGTCCTTGAAGTTTTCTTGGCAATGTTTTTCAGAAGTGTTTGCCATTGCCTATTTCCTAGGGCTGAAAGAAAGTGACTGGGCCAAAGTCACCCAGCTGGTTTTATACGAAGAAAGGCCTAAAACTCGTGGTCTCATGATGTATAGCCTGATACCTTAACCACTATGCCAAATTGACTCTCTTTCATATATTTTTATTACATCACTGATTTTATTATTTAGTCAGATAGCAATTGTATTACGGAGATAGTAGATAATAATCATGGGGACAATTCATGTATTTATGCCACTCTTTACAGAAAAGGCTAGAAGATCAATAGTTAGATTATATGGATATACCAGAGCTGGTTTCACACATCATATTAAGTCATAAATGTGGCAGGTTTGAGCTACCAAGTATACCTTAGTGTATCTAAATCAGGTTATATTTATTTTACAAACCATGGTTTGAAAATCCTAACTTACCATAGTATATATGGAAATAGGTCAGTGGTTCACATACAATGCTATGTATTAAGGATTGAAAATACTTTTTAAGATCTACTAAGACAATAACTGGGAGTAAGTGATCCTTCAATTAGAGATCAACATTACAATTTGATTTATTGAGCTTTCACCCACTTAAGTAGTTAATTTGTTTCTTATTTTTAGCAAAAATGAGCAAAAGGTAGAATAATGCTAAGCTCAAAAATAATATTTTGCTGCTTTACAAGTTGAACTAATTTACAAAAATTGAGTGAGAAATCATTTCTGCTAAGATTAATCTATAATAACTATTCCCCGGGGTCTAGATAATGATTCCCCCTAAGGGCTTCTTACTATATCAAATATACTTCAGGGATATCACAGATTCAGAAGTGCTTATAGAGAAGTGAAAGTATCAGGGTAATATTGCAGGAAACATTTCCAACTTGACAGCAGTAAGAAAAAATTCAGGGATGATACAATACAAATAGAACAAATAATTACAAATTGGAACAGAACCTATCAATACAAAGAAATGAACAGGAAGAGAAATCACAGCACAAGGAAGGAAACTATAGATAAGCCTTAAGGTTTTAAAATAATCTCTTTTACAAAGCTCAGAAGCAATCTATAAAGATTTATGCTTTCCATCCAAAGAAACCAGCACTTTTTCAATGCCTTCAGTAGTAATTTATAAGATTAATTTGCAAACAACACGGTCTCAACTGAGGGAGAAAGGAAGGATACAACAAAATCTTGTTAAGGAAATACTTTTACAATGGAAGGTAATGATACTCACAGCAGAACAATTAAATGCAGGCATAAATTGTAAATAATTAGTTTCACTTATCTAACAAATCCACAAATTTAAACTATTAATGACCAGAATAGAAAGCATTTAAGAGGGGAACTATCATTTTTTTTACTTGCATCTCTCTTTTTTTGCATAGTACAGAACAAATTCTTGCATGATCTGTGCATTTTTAAAGCTCATTTAGAGATATAAAACTGATCCATTACCATGAATTCTCTATACTTAAGGCAAACATTCATGGGAGAGGTTAAATCTATTTTTTTATTCTGCACAACATGCAATCTTTACCTCCCTACTCTGCTCCAGGAGGCATTACTGGTGGGGGTAGGGGGAAGAAATATATCATCTAGATTGGGTCCTGGGCAACTAATAATGAGGCCCCACAAGGTAATAAAAATATTGAAAAATAAAGGAAATGTATTATTTATGTATATTAACTCTGTTATATATTTTACATGCAGTCCAATGTAATTCCTCTTCACTCAATAAGGTCCAGGCAAACCAAAAGGTTGGACAACCATGATCTAGAGCAGGGGTGTCAAACTCAAGGCCCATGGGCTAGATCCGGCCCGCGATGTGGTTAGATCTGGCCCACGGAGCTGCCCTGGAAACAGCAAAGGACAAGCCCATGGCACCTCGGCTCATCCTAGGTCAACTGGGCGCTGATCTACAATCTGGTGGTGGCCATCCAGGCGGGAAAGCTGTCAGCCTTAGATCCGCAGGGCCGCTCCCGCCGCGCCCTCTGGGCATGCGGACAGGAGGCAGCGAGCATGCACGGAGCCTGGCATCCCTGGGGACCGTCTTATCCTGCAAGCTGACTGCATTTTGAGCACCTTCCTTTCACCCAGGAAGCCAGCCCCTGCCTGCATACATCACCGCTTGAGTGGGGAGGATGAGGAGAAGAGTGGTGAGGCTTTATGCCAGCCGGCCGGCCAGGCAAGGAGGTCAGGCAGGGCTGGCTGGCTGGGGAGGGGATCATGGATGCTCAGGTATACTGTGAACTTCTTGTTTCTCTTTTTTCCAAGATCTCATCCAATTCCAACTCCCCCTCCTCCTTACCCATTCACTTTTTCTTCATGTTTTGGTTTCATGATTTAATTCTCATTCATTCTCTCTATGGGACTAAACCTGCGGACTTCTTTTGTACCGGGCAGTCATTTTTCTACATTCAGGCATCACTATACATTCTTGACTTTATCTCTTCTTCTTTCCATTGCAACTCAATGTTTTCTTGTTTTACCATAGATACTTTTAAGTAATGCATTTGCGCTGCATTTAGTTTTCCCAGTGAGATCTGTACCTCCTTGCTTTATAAGAGTTATTTTAAATAGCAATAGCACTTAGAGTTTTATACCACTCCTTATGCTTTACAGCCCTCTCTGAGTGGTTTGCAATGTCACCATATTGCCCCTAACAATCTGAATCCTCATTTCCATCCTTGGAAGGGTGAAAGGCTGAGTCAACCTAAAGCCTGCCAGGATTGAACTCCAGTCTGTGGGCAGAGTTTGCCAATAATACTGCATTCTAACTACTGTGCCACCAGGGCTCAGGAGAAATGAACTAAAATTTCAATGTATGCAATAGGCAAGGATAGACATGGATCTTTAGTTATGAAGCATAATTTTAAAAAGAGAATCTGATTTCAGCAAATTAATTTTCATTGAAACAATGATTACTGAATATACCACATGTGTAAAATAGAATTTTCTGTATTAGACCACAGGTGTCAAACTTGATTGTATCATGTGACGTATCGTGACGTATCTTGCCTTTGTAGAGCTTGGGTGGGCGTGGCCTGCGCATGACATATCCGGCCCGCAGGCCGCCAATTTGACAGGCCTGTATTAGACTATTCAGAAAACACTTCATCTATGATATTCAGTATATAACAGTTCAAGTCACCAAGAAATCCCAAAGCTATCTTCATGTGTTAGTTGCCTAACAAACTGAAGGTATTCAGCTTCCATTAACTTTAACAATAGCAGCTAAGTAAACAATCCCGTAAAGCATTAGATGTGCCTAATGTAACATAGGATACATTTTAAAGCATAAATGTCAATGTATCCTATTGGCATTAAAATAGGGTACATTTGTTCAAAAAGTGTTGTTCATAAAATTTAGGAATGGCATCTAATTTTCAGGGCAATTATATTTTCATATAGTTTCAGGAGGTGAAACATTAGTAGGCCTAGGCCGATCTTGAAGAAAAACCAGGTCACATTTAGTAGTACCTGGACAGGAGCACACCAGGAAATTTCAAGGATATAGATTAAACTGAGATTTTTTTAAAAAGCAGCAGTAACAAGGTAAAGAATATAGATGTATCTATGCAATTACTAAGAATAAAACTTGACACAGGAAAGAATTTATTTTTTTAAAAAATCATATCATTATACTTAAAATAAATGTGTATTGAGTGTGTATGAGCCACAACGGCACAGTGGTTAGAGTGCAGTACTGCATGCTTAGTTCTGCTGACTGCCGGCTGCCTGCAATTTGACAGATTGAATCTCACCAGACTTAAGGTTGGTGATCAGCCTTCCATCCTTCCAAGGTGGGTAAAATGAGGACCCAAATTGTTGCAGGCAATATGCTGACTCTGTAAACAGCTTAGAGAGGGCTGTAAAGCACTGTAAAGCAGTATATAAGTCTAAGTACTATTACTATTTACTGTGCTATTTCAATTTGCCAAGAATCAATTAAAACAAGAATTCAGTCTGCTGGCAGCAAAAGTAAGTCGCACAGTAGGTCTTTTGTTATCAAAAGACATGGTTTCTTACTTCTTCCACTGTGATCCCCAATTCCATTCTGTGGGTCATGTCACTGTTGCTCAAGGCTTTTACCAGGTCTACCTTTTTAACCTTAGTTTTAAAGATGTGATTCCACTGGGTCTAAAGAAGGTGCTGAATTTGAGTTACAGAACTATGTAAAGTTAAAGCAGCGTATTTTATGTTGACCCTACTTGCTGGCGACCATACTGAAAATATACAACAAAGAAAGTTGGTGTTCAATGAGCTGCAGCTAATCCCAGGTATATCTCCACATACCTCTTGTTTTAGCCAAATTGAGAAATTGAGAAAAGTATGATTTACCTCATAAATCCCAAGAACATTATTAGAATAAGGCTGACAAGCCAACCAGCAGCAGCAAAAGCCTTTGGCATAGTTAGAGCTCCTGTGCCAACTATGAGGTTGAACATATAAATCAAGCCAACCTGCAATGAAAGAGTAGAAACATTTAATAGAAACTATTTAAATTAGTTCCATCTTTGGACAAATTGGGTATACAGTATACAGTACCAATCTCCACATGAGCAATCCAAACTCAGGTATTATGACTATGTGGTTTCAGAAGTCTAACAGCCCAATAAAAATAATTTTTGTTAGTTCATATTAACTGTTCCAGTAATAATATTGCTTTATGGTATGAAGGATTTTTTTCCTTCAACTCATGGAGGTGGTTCATTTGGCATAATATAAGCCTGCAAAGAAATGTCTCAGTCAATGACTTTGCCAAATGCATGATGTGCTTAATGGGGCCTGTAGAGCAGTGGGTGGAACTAAATAAGGTCACCATGGACAAAGCAATCTAAATCTGGCTTGCTACCATCTGTTCCTACCTATCCAGAACTTCCTACTTGCATTAATTCTCATCATGTTTCCTGCAAGACACAAAAAAAAATCCTTAAAATTAACCAAGGGCTTCCTATAAAATTTATCTAGCAATATATTACTTTTCATTGATATTACATATCACTATCTTTTCCTTCCATAATTCTGTGCAAGACAGATTTATTTCTTGAAGCCTGGTCTGTCTACATCTTTGGTAATCTTGTGTTCCATCTATTCTAGAACCTACCCTTCTTCAGCAGCCAAAACTGCTTAAATCCCACTTGGTTTACCAACCATCTTCAGCTCCTTTTTCCAAGTTCAGCAACTTCCTTCCAGGCAGCTTCCTAGCCTATTTCCCCTTCCTCCCCCTCTTTATATATGTGAAAACCTTAAATTTGTTTCACTATCAGCATTTCCCAAATAGAGTTTAACAGGCTGAAGTACAGTTCATGTGCTGGGAGACAATTGACATGATGGCAAAGAATGCTTGGTTACTCCGTTTTGTTACACTCTTATAAAAACTCTTTTGCAAATTATAAGGAAGTATTCCGATTTAGGCCTGAAATAGATCAATAAATTCTCAAGTAAGCTACCTATCTGGATAGTGCTGGTTTTGGAAATCATTACACACAAGGCACCCAAAAGCACAGTGTACTTGATACGAAGAGAATTAATCTGGCAGAAAGCCAATTCTGAGCAAGAAATTCATATAGTATAAGTAAACACAGAACACTTCCTAAAAGCACAAGATAATGGCAGAAAAAAACGCAATCCTGTAAAATTTACCATACCTATCAGAATTGTAGGAAACACAAAAAAAAAAAGGGGGGGGGGGAGAAAGACAAAATAAAAGAAAGTAACACTGTTGCCTTCAACTGCTTTATTAGGAATTCTATACATAAAAGCAGCTCTCTATAGAACTCCCATCTTCACTGTCAAAATATTTTTATTTCTTGTACATAGATAAACTAGAAGTTTAGCTTGTTGTTGGGACTAGCTGTTAACTGCTTTTTTACAGTAGATAGTTGGTAGGTCAAATTGGTTGATTGATAATAGATGTTCATATTTGTAATATTTTTAATGTGATATAGTAATTTAGTAGAGATTTAGAAATTCATTAATTGAGGACCTGTTTTGTAAGAGGGGAAAACTATTACAGTTGAAATATATTTATCAGTATTCAACCAGGAGGATAATCTATGTGTATCTTTGTTACTTTGTCTTTTATGCACATTTTTTTTTTGTTCTGTTTTTGTCTTTTTCTTCTCTTTTCTTCTTTAGATTTGGATTTGGAGCCCACTTCTACTAGAGCATAATGTAAGGGTGCCTGTGTACCTAAAGACCCTATTTTTGAACAACATATTTTTGAATAAAAAACAATTAATAAGCTTTGTATTGCTATTAGTATTTCCAATTTGGAAATAATGACTCATGAAGATGATCTCAATTTATCTCTTGTTGAACGTATTATATTTTATCAAATATTGTGCTAATTAGGAGTCTGAATATGTCTAATTTACCTGTAAAGACATATAAAATAATTCCTATCAAGCTTATATTCTTACTGCCTAAATAAAGATAAGACACCACCATCAACATTAAGCAAAGATTTATCAATGGAAAAACAAAATATTCTAATAATATTTATAATATTTTAATAATTAAGTATTTTACTGCATTTTGTTATTATGTAATATAGCTAGTCAGCAGGAAACATTCTTAAACTTCTTTTAAAAAACTTGTTGCTGTAATTCTGCAGGGAATTGCTGCTTATTTATAAATTTGCTTCTGTACCCTTTGGCATCAAAAAATTATTTTAAAATGCGCTATAATACTTTCTTTAAATTTGTATTTACATGAAGTATAGATATAATCATTTACTAGTATTTTCAAATCTTTTTCTAGGTCGATTACAATGCAGTTGTGAAATGATCAAAACAATATTCAGTATCAAAACCCAATTTAGAAACAGGCTGTAATATGTTCAATAATTTGGAGAAAATAACAAAACAAGCACAAGAATACAATTGCCCTACATAAAATTACAATTTTGCATGCTAATACTGGACAAAACATAAAACATGCATTAAGTAAGTGACTGTATCAATGCTAAGCACTCACATAAGGAGAGTAGAGCTCCCCTGTATCAGTGATGCTTCCAGCCATATTGAAAAGAATTTAAGGACTTGAGACAGATATGTTGTCAGTCGTTCTTGTTCCAGTTAACCTGAAAAACACAAAAGAGTTAACTTTTTTACAAATTTACTTATAATTATTAAGAATTGAATCCACCGCATAACAAATTTTACTGAGATAAAAATAGTATCACAGACTTAACTATCATGGCTTTAACCAATTTTAAAAAATATCACCGGTTTTCATGCCATTGCTTTATTAAACAACTCTAAGATCTTCTCTGCTTGAAATTGGATTGCAGTAAATAAAAGGCACTCTTCCCCTTAATTGTTAGTTCCTAATTGGATCTGCATCCTAGGGCAACACTTACATTATTTCAAGGAAAAGCTAATTATGAGATCTTAGTAATATATGAAATTACTTCATAATAGAAAATTAGAGTAAGTAAAGAGAATACAGTACATCAGTTGCAAATAAAGTCAGTCAATCAAACAGGAAGCTGCAAGAAACCTGTTGGACAAAACATTTTCTACACAATAAAGTATATTTACTGGATTTATAGCCCATCTTTCTGTTAACCAAGAAAGCACAAATGTGACTTTAAAATATCCATAGATATCTCCTTAATTTGATGGTTCCAAGATTCAACAGTATTCTCAATATTTCTGACCAAAGACATAAAAGATTTCATATAATAAATCCAAAGATCTTAAGGCAAAATACTGTTTTCCTTGTCAAGTCTTTTTTTTTTTTGCCTCAAATGCACGTTTAAAAACTTCCAAAACTTCTCAGAAATCAGACTGAAAGTTAATCCATCTTTTTTTGTTAATAGAGCATCCTGCCAAATAGGCACAGCTTATATGGGATATGATCAGATTTTCTTTTTAAAATGTATTATTTATTCCCAGTCATCAGTTTTACATATTTCATAATGAAAATCTCTTTTGCCAATATTTTCATTCTGAAGTATAGCCTAAGAAATATTTAATCATTCCAGTTCTGAAATCCATTATAAATATTTTCCAACTTATAACAAAGATTGTTTAACATCCTCAAAGTTACTAGAATCCCATTATCATACTCATTCTAATTATTGATCTTTCATCATTATTAAAACAAGTTTATCAATGATAGTGAGATTGCAATCATCACTACTATAATTATAACTATTGTAAGGATAAATGAGAAGTTATATTGTATTTCTCATAAAGAACAGGATTGAAATATCAGAGGAAAGTTGGCCAATGTTAGCACTAGTCATTTAACTCTGCTTTTATCCCGTTTTCTATCTTTGCAATAATGTTAATGCTAAAGTACTGCTATAAATTTCTTTAAGTTTTAATAATAAACAGGGATTACTTTCCACCTTTATTCAATAGGCTTACATGTTACTTTAGCTCTTGGGGAAAAATGTATTGGCTCTCCGATACCCTTTCTATCTACCTCTATCATGAACTAAGTATCTATCATTTTTGGATTAGAAAAGGTAGGTTTAGAGACAGAATAGCATTAGGAGTCTGTGTTCAAGTTCAGATTCGGTGTATACTTCAACACACAAGCACAATAAAATAGATTCCCTGACCATCTTATTCTAAACACACTGATGTTCTCAACTTAGTCTCACTGCATGGAGAACAATAACATTTCTTGTGCTGGGTAATAAATTAGATATCTCATATATGTGTGTGTGAGAGAGAGAGAAAGAGAGAGAGATGGAGAGAGAGAGGGAGGGAAGGAGGGAGGGAGAGAGAGAGAGATTAGTAGACTGCTAGGCTATTCTTTCTTTCATTGTTTCTTAGGGTTGAGGACAACCCCAAGATATAACAGCTTGAAAGGGAACTTGTCAGTCTGGAAATAAATCAGGAAGAGTGAATGAAGACTTAGGCTATTAGGAAGTAATGCCTTCTTTGAGCTCTCCTCCTAACGACTTTTTTATGCACTACTCAGCAGCATGCAAATCCTTCATACAGGTTTAAAATGCTACCCTTTAAAGCTAATAGGAAGAGAGGACAGAATTTATAACTGCTCTGGGAAAAGTAACTCTTGAGTGTATGCTTGCTAGTAGATTCTTATTGCATCAATTGTTCCTGTTCCATCAGGAAACTAGGCACACAAAATCCTGCATGGAACAGAGGTTGGACTAGACCTCTGAGCTTCCTTCTATCACTTATGATTCTATGTAAAACCGCTGATATGAGCTACTGGTTTATTATGATGGAATTTGGTATGGGAGAATGGGTTTTGTGTGACATAGGCTAGCCTCAGGATGCTTTTATTTTTCATTTGGCCAAGTCCATATTGTTTTGTTAGAATAATACAAAGTGTTTTGCAATTAGATGCTTCCAAGATACTTCAACTCTGCAATCTAATCTATTCTCCAATACAAGTACTAAACCAAACTCGTTCAATTATTAGGCAAAAGGCTTGCTTTTTAATCTAGAAATCTTGGTGAAAATGGGAATGGCCTACGACTGCTAGAGATATTTTTCAAAAAGCAGAATCTTACTCTTCATATTTACACCCAACTCATATACACACAGACTCCAATTTAAATACAAGGGTGTTCATGATAAACACCAATACTCTCTTCTTTTTGTGTACTTCATTTTTCCAAAAATGCTCCTCAAATTACAGGTATTTTTCTTCTATCAACAAAAATATTAAATGAAGAGTGTTCCCCAAAATAATCCTTTTTTATCCACATCTCTGCACTTAAAGCAGAAATAAACTAGCTGTCTTGCATCTACAATAGGTTTTATCTTTAAAAAACAAAATACTCATTTACCTCTTCTCTACTGACATCATCCATTCCATACAGGCTTTCTACGGCATTCAAAAGTCAGCTTTCAAAAAGTATGGTGGCATAGGTCACCTGACTCCCATGTGAAACTACATAATTTCAATTAAGCACAACTTTTGTCTTTTTAAAAACTGCTTCAACAACACACATACACAACGAATAAAAAGTGCAAGGTAGTAGACTTACGACCACAACTGAGCCCAAAATTTCTGTTCCTAAGTGAGACAGTTCTTAAGTGAATTTTGTCACATTTTATGATCTTTTTTGCTATAGTTGTTAAGTAATCCTTTGCAGTAGTTCCCTCAACAATTGTTAAGTGAATCTGGCTTTCCCATTGACTTTGCTTGCCAGAAGATTGCAAAAGCTGATCACATGACTCCTGGACACTGTGACTGTCATAAATATTAGTCAGTTGCCAAGCATCTGAATGTTGATCATGTGACCATGGGGAAGCTGCAACTATCATAAAGTGTGAAAAACAATAATAAGTCACTTTGGACAGTCACTAAATGAAGTGTTGTAAATCAAGGATTACCTGTACGGTACACATAGACCATCAGCTCCTGTTTTAAACACATTACCCCTTGATCATATGGAATAAAATTGGACAATCTTTCTATAACACTGACATAGAGCCAATTCATAAATCAGTAATGAATGTATCTTGAATCCAGGACTAACTACAGGGTGGGAGTCCAATTTTTTCCCCACTTCACCCTATGCTCACTAAATCCATAATTATATATAACTATGTATAGGGGGAGGGGATCTAACTTTAGGAATGCAGTTCAGATTACAGAATATGGATTTGGGAAAGGCAATACAGCATAAAAGATGTGACTAACCAGCACGTTAGTCCCTTTGCTTACTCTCTGCTTATTATACAGTATTGCACACCTTTTTCTATATTACATCCTTCGGCGTACTTGGCGATCAAGTACGACAAAGCGGACCTTTTTACCAGCTGTAACCACAGACCCGCCCGTGCAGACGCGTGTCAGCCCCTGAAACGATGCTGACGACCGTCCTAACACGAAGTCACCCCCTCGGTTTAGCAATGCCACGGAAACGCCCAACGCTGACTTCGGGGTACTTTATAGGCATCATCCTACACGGGCTCTTTCGAAAAGCATTTCGGGGTTGCAGTCCCTGCTGTTAGGAAGCCAAACGAGACCTCTGCCGGAGCTGCTTCGGGCATGCCACGTCCCTTAAGCTCGCCCAGCCGTGGCTTCCTCTTCCCATTCTGCCTCCCAGGGCTGCTGCTTCGCCCTGCCGCTTCCCGCCATCCCCCAAACCACCACGAAACGTCCTTCCTTATCTCTCTCTCTCTCTCTCTCAAAAAAAAAAGGCTTTACCGGTAACAACCACAAGCCCAGCGAAACCCCAAGGCAGAGGCTTCACCCGCAACTCCAAGCCGGCTCCCCTCATGCTGCGCCCGGGGAAGCGAAGCCACGGACAGCGCATGCGCCACTCCGGCCAAAAGGGGCCCGCTTCAACCACTACAGAAAGCAACAACCGCGACTGTACAGCTGTCCGAGTACGTCAATCGAGGAGGAGATTCGCGAGGCGGATTGAAGCTCCACGGCTACCGTAGCGTTCAATTTAAGGTAGGCGGGCCTTACGACTGCGCAAGCGTGGAGATCGGGGAATTATGAGATTGCGGGGGACGCGCGCTGGTCTCCTGTTGCTTTTAAATGTGGCGGCAGTTGGTGCTGGCGTGGGCGACGGAGCGGGTGGGCTCTGTATCCTTTCGTGAGCTCTGTTGGCTTTTTGCTCTCCTTCCTTCAGGAGCGTAGATACTAAAAGCCTAGCTCGAAGCACGCTTAGGGAGGGAACGGTCGTCGAAACTCAGTGGGGCGATTTTTTTTTTCTCTACAACTAAATAGTCAAGAGGTACGGTCGTCAGCACGCAAGTCTAACATTACAGTTGGGCAGTTTATGACTTAGATGATTCATTGATTGATGATGTGCTATCAAATCAGCGACGACTCTTAGCGAACTTGTCTGAAATGGTATATAGGGCAGTGGTGAAATCCAGTTTTTTTTTTTTACTACCGGTTCTGTGGGCGTGGCAGGGGAAGGATACTGCAAAATCTCCATTCCCTCCCCACTCCAGGGGGAAAATACTGCAAAATCCCCATTCTCTCCCCACTCCTCGGGGAAGGATATTGCAAATCTCCATTCCCACCTCACTCTGGGGCCAGCCAGAGGTGATATTTACTGGTTCTCTGAACTACTCAAAATTTCCATTACTGGTTCTCCAGAACCTGTCAGAACCTGCTGGATTTCACCCCTGATATAGGGTCTCCTGATTTTTTTATTTTTTTTTTAAAATTTGATTTATATGCCGCCCTTCTCCGGAGACTCAGGGCGGCTTACAATGTGTTAAGCAATAGCCTTCATTCTTTTGTATATTTTATACAAAGTCAGCTTATTGCCCCCACAAACTGGGTCCTCATTTCACCTACCTTAGAAAGGATGGAAGGCTGAGTCAACCTTGAGCCTTGGAGAGATTCGAACCAGCAGAAATTGCAGGCAGCTGTGTTAATAACAGGGTGCACTAAACCCCTGTACTATCAAGGCTCTTTGATTGAGCAAGGGGTTGGACTAGAAGACCTCCAAGGTCCCTTCCAACTGTTATTCTGATTGAAACATCAACACATCAGACAGATTTTCCCCACGAGGATGAGATGGATAATTTGAGCTGTGATACGTCTATACCTTAACAAAATCAGAATAGTGCAAGCCATGGCATTCCCCTATGACACTACATGGAAGCAAAAGTTGGACTTTGAAAATGCTGGTTAGGAAGAGTATTGACGGCTTTGAATTTTGGTGGAGGATACTCCTGAGAATACTGTGGACAGTCAAAAAAATAAATAAATGGATTGTTGAATGTCGAGATTCTCAGTCATCCAGATCCTGGTTGTCTCAAAGGTGCTTTTTTCAAGAGGCAACTGGACTTTCTGGTTTTTCTTTGAAGATGTTTCGCTTCTCATCCAAGAAACTTCTTCAGCTCTGACTTCCATTCCCCACCATCCAGTCAGAGCTGAAGAGGCTTCTTGGATGAGAAGCGGAATGTCTTCAAAGAAAAACCAGAAAGTCCAGCTGCCTCTTGAAAAAAGCACATTTGGGACAATGGATCGTTGGGCAAATAATTCTCTGAGGTACAAATGACAAGACTCAAGTTACCCTACTTCAGACACATGTAAAGACCCAGAACTTTGGAAAAAAGCTCTAATACTGGAAAAGGTGGAAAAAAGAAGAAAGCGGACCAGCATTATGGTGGCAATGAGAGACCTGTTGGGAAATTTTAGAGAACCAATGAGGGATCATCATGGAGAAAATCATGTGGTCACTAGGAGTCAGAAATGATTTGGTGGCACATAATCATTTGTGCCTTGAGTGAGAAGCCTGGTTTGATTTGTTCGATGATCCATTGATTTGTTTACTTGGCTGCCCATAGAATATTGTCCAACACAAATGGCTCAAAAGCTTCAATACTCTTCTTATATTGCTTCTTCAACTTTCAAAATCAGAAACTGGAGGAGCTTATTTAACCAGCAGCTACAAAGTGCTATACAAACCTAAGCTTAGAGTTAGCTTGATCTTTTTTTCCCCTTCTGACCTATTTTTTTCTACATCTAAAACCATAGTGGATTTTAATGAACCCTCAGCCTTCCAGTTGTTCCCCACATTATTTTCATACTCTTCCCATTCCTGATAAACTCATGACTCATCAGTGCTACATAAGCATTGGCATTTTCCATCCTACAAAATACCGGTAATCTATACTATTGTCCCTCTCATTTAGTCAACATGCTGTCTATAAAGATGTAGATATTTGTTGTGTAAGGAAAAAGTGTGACAGCTTTCAAAAAACAAACTTTGTTATATCTATATCTTTTGACATCCCATATAGGGTTCAAAAAGGATTATGATCTTGGCTTATCAGAGGACAAACATACTGAGGCTTTAAAACAGCCTGACCTGTTTATCAAACACTAGTGCATATGTGGTAGGGAAGAAGAAAATGAGTTTAGTCTTTATCAGCTTGCTTTTTAGCTTTCTGAGCTAAGTAGGGGGGAAATCTCTAAATAGGAAAAAACAATATAAAAAAGGATGGAAATATGATCAAAGATTTTTGGGCCAGAAAATTCCATATCCCTGATCACTATCCGATGATACATTCATTCTTTTAAGTGTTATATCTGGGTATTGTATGTAAGTTTTAAAACTCTTTTCCAAAGAATGCTGTGGACACTGCCCTATCCAGATATTAGTTCATGGTTCTAGATCTTTATTTTGTTTAACATTAACTGGATTTTTAAGTGTTAAAAGTAGTTGAAAAAAATCAAAATGGAAAAGAAATATTATAAATTGCCTTTTATAGCAGCCATAGAGAATACAGAACTATATTAGATTGGTTATTATAACATATTTTTCTCTCATGACTCATATATAGGTACACATATCTTTGTATTTCATATATTTTTAATCAAACATACTGTAATACAAATAAAATGTTCAGTAAATGTCTTGAGTTAATTATAATATTTTTTCTTCTTAGATTTTATTTCTCATTTATTGTTTCAGGATTCAGACTATGAAGATTAACCAAAACACTGTACTGCAGGGGAAGAGGGTAGCCCTAGTACCATACACGTCTGCTCATGTACCCAGGTATGCAATAAATAACTTAGTTTTGGGGGTGGGGTGGGGTGATGTTGATTTGAGAGCTCTGGTTTGAAAATATATTCATTTTACAAAGTTTGTTTTTCATTCAAAGTGCCACAACAAATTCCCAAGATGTTCAGATTTCAAATACATGCACAAAATCATTGGGCACATAGAGAAAGCATTATATTAATGTATTGTTTAAAATCATGAGTATTTTTTGTCTGAAGAATGACTGGTGCAGCTATAAACCATATACAGCTGACTTATTTGCATATTTATTCAGATTCAATACCAAACATATTATTTGGAATGTTTGTTCACCTTGCATCTGTAGGCAATTCTTTTTTTAAAAAAAGCTGCATATTTTCTGCGATTGACATGCAATCAAAGAAAAATATAAGTATAAACTAAGGAGTTTCAGACAGATGCAGCATGCATACACACTCTGAGTCATCTTATCCCCTTTAAATATAGATTGCTGTTTAGGCTAAGTAAACTATACTACATTCAGAGGTGTTTACTCCAGAATTAACATACATTTAAGTTTCATCGTTGATCTTAAAATTTGGAGATTAGAATTAGAAGTAGTAATGAGAATTCTAACGTAGATGTCTACATGTTTATTATATGCTGTTACAACAGATCTAAAAATCATTTCTGAATGGGGACCAGGCTTCCAACAATCAGAGGAAGATTCCATATTTTCCCTTTTGTGCAAGTTTTTTGCCATATGAAATCTCCCCACCCCCACCCCACCCCCGCTTTCTTGTAAAAGTGAATGGCAACTGAGGATCAAAAGGGACTTAACCCAGTTCTTATGAAATGAACTCTGCATACTTGATTAGTCTTTGCCCTAAATTGTATTACTTGCTAACTCTAGAGCAGTGATAAGAAACCCAAGGATCATATGCCAGGTTCAGCCATTAGCCCTGTTTTTTCCATAAGGTCATCCTGTGAAATCAACAAAATGCCAGTTTCCGTGATAAATGTTTATCGGGTGAGGGTTGGTGTTTTTTTTGTAAAAAGAAAAAAGAAAAAGTACAGTGTTATATATTCAGTTTCTCTCCTCGTGATAGCTAGAAACCCACTTTCTAAGCATCAAGTACAGGTAGTCCTCAATTTACAAGCACAATTTAGCCCTAAATTTATGTTGTTTAGTGAGATAGTTGTTAAGTTAATTTTGCCTCATTTGTCACAGTTGTTAAGTAAAGCACTGCAGTTATTTTAGTGAATCTGGCTTCCCATTGATTTTGTTTGTCAGAAGGTCGCAACATGACCCCAGGACATTGCAACAGTCATAAATATGAGTTAGTTGCCAAGCATCTGAATTTTGATCATGTGACCATGGGGATGCTACCATGGTTGTAATTGTGAAAAACTATCATAAGTCACTTTTTCAGTGCCATTGTAAATTTGAACCGTCACTAAATGAACTTGTAAATCGAGGACTACCTGTAAGTTCAACCTCTAACTGGAGGAAAGGGCTAGTGTGCAGAATTTGAGATGGCAGCTCTTAATCTGAATGGGGGCTATTAAAATGCCTATATGAGTTACATTGTATCACTAACACAAGTTCATCAAGCGGTGTACTTTTTTTTTTTTTTTTAATTTGATTTATATGCCGCCCTTCTCCGGAGACTCAGGGCGGCTTACAATGCGCTAAGCAATAGCCTTCATCCTTTTTTGTATATTTATACAAAGTCAGCTTATTGCCCCCACAAACTGGGTCCTCATTTCACCTACCTTAGAAAGGATGGAAGGCTGAGTCAACCTTGAGCCTTGGAGAGATTCGAACCAGCAGTAATTGCAGGCAGCTGCTTAACGCCATACCAGTTTATAGGGGATAATATCCTAAAGAAGCCTACTTACTTTTTTCTCGATTTTCTGATTAGATACCATGAGTGGATGAAGTCTGAAGAACTACAGCGTCTGACTGCATCTGAACCACTAAGCCTTGAACAGGAATATGAGATGCAGTGCAGCTGGCGGGAAGATGCAGATAGTGAGATTTCTGACTATTTGGGAAGACCTGGAAATGGATAGTCTACACATACGTTGGGTGGTTCATTTCACAAATGTTATTTATCTGTGAAACTTAAACACCACCATCTTGCCTAGGCAGCTTACAACCGATAAAAGCAACAAGATAAAATATTAAAACAATAAATATTAACACTAAAATTGACTTTAAAATGAACAAAGATGGCAAGGAAGGGAGCAAGATGCACACAGAGAAGAGGTGGGGTCTCATTTCAGTCTGTTAACCACCTCAGTATGACACACCCCCATGACAAGCCCCACACATAGTTCAAAGTGGCATTTTTAGACCATTACTACTAAATGTTACAGTTTAAAATTTGCAATTTCATAATTTTCACTTCTGGAAACGCTTTTTATTGTAACTCAGTTCAATCATGATCAAACACAAAGAGATATTGTAATATAATAGAAAATCTGATTTAAATGTTTATGTATATTATGGGGCATTCTATTGTACTCAATGAAAGGTTTCTGAAGGAATACAAATTAATTGGTGGTTCTAGTCTTTTCAGCTTTTTTAATACCCTTCTATATCATTTGCTTGGATTACCATTAGGAGGCATTAGTGGTGGGTTGCCCCCGGTTCGCACGGGTTCTATAGAACCAGTAGCAACACCGGCGAGAGGCTCCACCCACCAACTCCGACATCATCAGAACACTTCTGTGCATGCGCAGAAGCTTCTGTGCATGTGCAGAAGAGTGTGCACACATGCTCGCTTCGCTTGCGCACACACGCGGCTCCATTATGAACCGGTAGTAAAGGTAAGTAGAATCCCCACCCAGGGGTGAAATGCTCCCGGTTCGGACCAGATCGCCCGATCCAGTAGCGATGGCGGGTGGTTTGGAGAACCAGTAGCAAAATCCTTGCGCCCCCCCCTCCCCCCATGCTCAGCTGAGTCGCACGATCATCGCACGAGGCTTTTTTTTTTACTTTTAAAAGCATTTTTTCTACAACCTCTTCCGACAAAAAAATGCTTTTAAAAGTTAAAAAAAAAGCCTCTGATGATCGCGCAGCTCAGCTGGGATCCTCAGGCTTTTCAAAGCATTTTTTTCTGCAACCTCTTGGCCGAAGAGGTGGTTAAAAAATGCTTTGAAAAGTCTCTGACGATCCCAGCTGAGTAGCCTAATCGGCAGAGAAGCTTTTCAAAGCATTAGAAAAAATGCTTTGAAAGGTTAAAAAAAAAAAAAGTTGGCCACGCCCACCCGGTCACATTATCCCACCACCACCAAGCCACGCCCATAGAACCGATAGTAACACATTTTACATTTCACCCCTGCCCCCACCCTGGGAGTCATATTAATATTGATTCCAGTTCTTCCGGGAAGAATAGTCTCAAAATGAGATGCTAGGAAAATTCTATTTTACCACAGCATTGTTGGTCAGCATTAATCTGTGAACAGGCTTCTATCTTCCATGTTTAACATTTCCCTGAAATCCTTCAAGGAAGTAATCCTGAAGTTCCATGCAATCATCATGAGAATCTGTTTACTGTTTCTACATACCTACTTATTCCAGGATGGCCCTAGAATTTGTGTTTCAGGATTTGAAAGCACTTTGGGTAAATGTAGGAGAACAAGACAATGGAGTTAAAGTTTGGAAAATCAAATGTTTTTATGGAGATCTACAATTCTTAATTTTGAAACTAGCAGTTCGAAAGCACGTAAAAAATGCAAGTAGAAAAATAGGGACCACCTTTGGTGGGAAGGTAACAGCATTCTGTGTGCCTTTGGTGCTTAGTCATGCCGGCCACATGACCACGGAGACATCTTCGGACAGCGCTGGCTCTTCAGCTTTGAAATGGAGATGAGCACTGCCCCCTAGAGTTGGGAACGACTAGCACATGTGCGAGAGGAACCTTTACCTTTACAATTCTTAAATGAGGTTGTACGCCTGTCAAAAACCCAAATGTGCAACCTGATGGCAATCAGGATAGACTTTTATTACACAATGTATATGGTGTTATGTATTTAGAAAGAGATCTTTACTGCTCAGACATGAAACACATCTCTTTCCAATTTTTGTGGTGAGTGAAATAAGAATCTGCAGGCTGGAAATGCTTTCTGTAATATTGCACAATCGTGGAATGAGTTGCCATTGGGAGTCTGTCAGTCTTTCTTTCGAAAAGTTGTATTTGGCTTTTTAACATTAGTTTTATTAAGCTACAATGTCTTAAATTTTATTGTTAAGACCAGATTTTTATTTTTTTTATCTGATGCCAATTGATTTCAATATTTCAGAAAAATACTATAAATTGCCTTTAGAAGATATATATATATGTAAAGTGAGAAATCTTTAATTCAGTTTTCTATGTCTGCAGAATGTGAAGTGGAGTGCTGGTAAGAGAGTAGAATAGTGGCCAAAGCTAGGTAATATTGCTTCTAGTAATCATATATATTTACCTTGATTTTATATGTTATGTTTCTTTCAGAGATTCATCATAATCTTTTTTTCATTCTTCTTGTCTTACATTTCCCAGAATGCACATTTATAATACTTGATGCTGAAAAGTGGTCTAGCCAGAAAGCCACAGAAGAAGACTGTATGGTGGGAGATGTGAACTTGTTCCTTACCAATTCTGAAGATCCAACAGTGGGAGAGATAGAAATCATGATTGCAGGTCATCTAATTTGTTTCATATCTTCCAGTATTTATTTTGTTACTATATCATTTTTCTTCCAAGCAGAGCCAAGGAGATTTACACGACCCAAAAAAAAAGGGGGAGATGAATCTTAAATGCAACAATCAAAGGCAACAGTGCTTAATAATAATAATAATAAATAAAATCAGCTCTCATTTTTTAAACATCAAAAAACTGAAATCACAGACATGTTTAAAGGGAGTGTATTTTCACAAATGCTTCAGCACACAAGGATATCTTCAACTATTTTATTGACCCAAATTCCTTTCAGGGGATAGTTTCATTATTTCGCCACTGCCAATGAGAAAGCTGTACTCCTGGCATCATATTGTAAGCCCAACTCATTGGGGCCTCCCAAATAAAACTTAGTGCAGAAGTTGGATCATATTGGTGGAAAAAATTCTCTCAAATACTCCTTTACATCTTGGAATAATCTTTAAGTTTATAGCAACATGCCTTTGCATCTGAAACCTACCAGAATCAAACTGAGTATATGTAGTCATTTATATGAGAGAGAAAGAGAGATGTTTGAAAGAATGGCCTTCAAATATTTTTTAGCAGGCCAGTGAAGGTTGTCTAGACGGTATTGTTAATGTTTTGAACCTATAGGATACATCTTGATGAACAGGGTTAGATATAGAATGAGATAGCTTCCCCCCACTCCTTTTTTCTTTGCCAATCTCATGCTTTCTAAAAAAACGTTTTGTGTAATACCAAATCTTGTAAAATGTAGGAAGAATTATATAATTTTCCTAAAAAAAGACTTGGCACCTGTTCCCTCTTTCAGAGCCCAGCTACCGTGGCAGAGGGTTTGGCAAGGAGGCCACTCTCATCATGATATTTTATGGTAAGAATGCCTGACATAGAATGTGCAAAATCTGATTTTTAGTTGTTACAATGTGAGAGGAACAGAATGAGCAAAGAAATTAAGGAATTTGTATGGTCAAAGAGGATACCCAACAGAACAGATTTTCTGACAGAGCATATTAACAGTTGAGCAAAAGATTTAATGTTGGGAGAATGGGAAATTGTTTCCATATCAATTGTTTCCTTTACTTCAGATCTTTGTGTGATTTCTGTTCAACTTCTTTGTGTCTTAAAAATGCCAAAATTCAATTCAATTGTTTTGAATTGGTGTGGTGTATTTACATTCCAGTAGATGTTGAATTTTAGCTTCAAATATGTAAAGTACTTTATGAATGAGTATTGTTTATTTAGATTTAGACTTAGAATAACTTTATTGTCACTTTAAATGTACACTAATTGGCATACATTAAAATGAAATTTCATTGCATACAGCTCGCAAAGGGTCACCACCTCCAGTATATACTACATAAGCATGACAATAAATAAATAAACAAACAAACAAACATATACTCTCTTATATGACACAGAGAAACAGCATAGTCTAGTTCGAATGTATACATGTACATGGTGAGAAAAATGAATCTTCTGAGTTTACCAGACGTGAACAAAGCTGTTACAGAAACCTCCTCCCAGAGGGGAGCAATAGAAACAAACCGTAAAGTGGGTGTGTGTGGTCTCTAACGATGCTTTGAGCTCTAAGCACATAGCACTTATAAGCAGTATCCTGAATAAGGGGAAGCGAGCTTCCTATAATCTTGGCTGTCCTTACCATTCTCTGAATGGACTTTCTATCTGAGGCACTGCTGCCACCAAACCAAACAGTGATGCAGTTTGTTAAAACACTCTCAATCGTGCCTCTGTAAAAAGTGGCCAGGACAGAAGGCGAAAGATGTGCTCTCCTTATCCGATGCAGGAAATGCATACGCTGGTTTGCACGCTTCACTAAGGATGATGTGTGGAGAGTCTAATTCAGATTGTTAGTTATCTGCACCCCCAGATACTTAATACTGTTGACCACATCCGCAGCTGCATCCTTGATACTGAGTGGAGTATGACTATGCCAGCTCTTTCTAAAATCTACAATGAACTCCTTTGTTTTATTAGCATTTAGAACCAGGTTACTTTTATTGCACCAGTCCACCAGAGCCTTCACCTCTTGCCTATAATCATCTTCATTGTCATCTTGGATAAGACCCGCCATTGCCGTGTCATCCGCATACTTCACAATTTGATTCGTAGCAGATTTGGCACAGCAGTCATGGGTCATCAAAGTGAACAGTAGTGGACTCAAGACACAGGCCTGTGGGGAACCCATACTCAAGGAGGTGGAGTTGGAAACTTTTCTTCCAACTCGCATAATATATATATATATTAAAAACAATAACATTTCAATTTGTCTTTAACAGTAGAAACATTATAAGCATACCTTTAGTTAGCTAGCAGAACCAAATCAAATTACTTATCTGTGTAAGATGGTACTGTTTCTAAGGAGTCAGTGGACCCACTTGGAGGTGCCATGAATTCAGCATAGGAATGTTTACATGCAAAGTTTGTGTTCTACCATTAGTCTGTAATCATTCCTTTTCCAAGTAAAGCTCTATCTTCCTTATTATCTTGATCTATAGGAATTACGCATCTTGGACTCGCCACTTTTGAGGCAAAAATTAAATTGGAAAATGAAACCAGTATTGGCATGTTCAAAAAAATTCATTTTAAAGAGGTATAGTAACTAGAAGCTCTCCTATTGTATGTCGAGTTGATATTAAAGTGTGTTTGTTTCAGCATTTAAAGATAACTTTATCTTCCATATTACCTAGGTGGGAATAAATAGTACTTTCCAAGAAGTGACACTGAAACTGATTATGGACGAACAGGAGAAACGGTGGCTTCTTGAGCAAACTAATGGAGTGATTGAAACAAAATACATTGCCATGAAACTACATCACAATTGTGACAGCTGAGAAGCTATGCTCAATTTGTCTCAAATTTAGAAAAATGGCTTTTTATTGTCCAAAATTGGAAATCGTGTCTCGAATCCATGGCATTAGTTCTTGTTGAAGAAGAAAATGAAGTGTGACCTCTGCCTTGTTATTGCCTTAGGTACTTTTTTTCTAAGGATATAAACCTCTAGGATAGTTACAATAAACTGCCTCATCTTTGTGAGAAAAAAGAATTTTCAGCTGAAAACTCATTCAGCTTGAACTGAGTTTGATCAACAGCTGCTGTCACAATATGTCCTGGACTTTTTTACTTTTTAATTCAGTACAAATAGCAAAGTATGACTGAGCTGCATTTTGAGGCAAAGAACTCAAGGATGATGTTACAAATAGGTCAAGCGTGCTGTCACTATAATGGCTACATTTTACCAAAAACCCTAACTTACCTTCTAGGATGTTTTCCAACTTCCCAGTCTACAACACAGTGTTTGGATTTCCTACTGTATCACAATCTAGTATTAATCCAGGACAACACGGCAGGTTTTTTTTTAAAAAAATAATGGGATAGATCAGCTAATGCTAATGAAAAGAGCTGGCTCTGCCTGCCTGTATATAAATGTTTTATGGGTATTATACATTATGATGGTCCCATATCTGTACATCTCCATTAGGGAATCAATCATCCATCAATTTCATTTGTGTTACATTTAAGTCCTCCTTCAGAGTGATTTCTCAAAAATCCAGTGGAACTTGTTCTTTTTCTATAATTCTAAGAAAACATACTTTGTCCATTTTTTCATTAAGTTCATTTTGTGAAGAAGCTTGTTTAAAAAAAATCAGATAATTGATGTCTGCTCCATTTTTTTATCCTCTAGCTCCTCCTCCTGACCAATTTTCAAGGTTGTATCATAAAAATACAAAGGGATCATCGTTTTCCCATGAGATTTTTGTTTTAATGAATTCAAGGCTATAATTCCAAATCCCTCTGGCCACTGAATCTATTGCTAACTTTTTCTAATCTATAAAGCACCCTTTTGCAAATAGGCTATTTGCAAATTTGCAATATTTTTAAAATCAAAAATGCTATCTTCGAAGGAGGAGGGAACACACAGGAATATAGTAAAACCATGCTTGTAAGCTCCATTTTGTATAAGAGATGGATCAGCATTCATAATTCGGGGGGGGGGACTTCATTTGTCGACATTATTGCATAAAGCTGAACCGTCAACCTGTTTAATATTTGTGCTTCTAATTGTTTGTCTTTTTACATTTTATTAATGATAACCACAATGACAGATGATCCCTTTAAAAAGCAGGCAATTCAATAGCTCTGGGTATATCCTTTGGTTTTCAGTCTCAATTCCAAGTACCTCAACATAAATTGCTAAACTGTTACCTGGAAATATAAAGTACAAAATAATAAAAATAGCAGAGATTAGTTTTGGCAGAGTGTTCATATGTCTGATGGCCTGGAGTGTGCTTCTACTATACTGTTTTGTCCTCACCTTGAAAGTGGTGACAATCTGCACCAAGCTTCTGAACTAGAGGCTTGCCTCTTTGTAGAAGCTGGTGAAAGCAGAACAATCCATCTGATAACAAATGAATAACACACTTGACAAAGTGATGTCAGCAAAGTGCAAGACAGCAACAATTAACAAAAAGGAGGGCCAGAAGTAGTCAGAAGCTATTGTGGCTCTGTTCTTGATGAGATGTGAATGACAGATTTAGTAATATGAAAGTCCACTGATTTGTAGGGAGAAAACAGCAAATGACCTCCAATCCAGGGGTGAAATGCTCCCGGTTTGGACCGGATTACCCGATCTGGTAGTGATGGCGGCGAATGGTTCGGAGAACTGGTAGCAAAAATCCCTGCCCCCCTCCATGCCCAGCTGAGCCGCACGATCATTAGGGGCTTTATATATATATATATACACACACTTTTAAAAGCATTTTTCTAAAACCCCTTCAGGCGAAGAGGTTATAGAAAAAATGCTTTTAAAAGTAAAAAAAAAAAAAAGTTGGCCATGCCCACCCAGTCACATTACCCCCACCACCAAGCCACACCCACAGAACCGTAGTAACAAATTTTATATTTCACCACTGCTCCATAGAATTAGGCAGGCACTGCTTTATATAGAATTAGGTACTAACAATGCAGTTCTTTGCACATACACTCAGATCTAGTTATAACTCTTACTGTAGAGCATACTTCTGGGTACCTATGCAGCAAATTTCAGCATTAAATATATTTCCTCTGGATGAAATGCTGCTCAATCAAGGCAATAAAGCACCATATTCTAAGCTTCATTAATCAATTGTTAGTCGTGAAAGTGTCAATGGAAGATGGATTTTCCTTTTATCTGGTCAATGACGTTTTTCTGTTATTACTTTCTCATCAGGAAAGTAATAACATCTGTTGCTTCTACGCCATGATTCTCCACTCTTCCATGTTTTCATAAGACTCCTATAAGAAAGCTAATCCTAGGAAAGAATAATTGGTCAAGACTCCGTGAACTTCATGGCTGAGCAAGTGTATGGTCCAGCTTTACCCATGTGAAATTGACTTTTAATCATTAGTCCACAACCCATTGATCTGGGCCTTCAGCCTCTTCAAAGAGTTCATTAGGTGTCCCATTTATGATTAATCATCTGTGAGGATTGGGAGTTGGAGGCACCATGTTATATGGTCTATTCTATCTGAGTCCAAGCAGTGGTGGCAACTGAGATATGTGGGTCTTTGAATACTGTTTTGGAGTGTCCCAGGTAGAGAAATGCCAGCCTTGACTGACAAAGGTCTGCCCTTCAGACAGAACAGATATGCAATCTGGGGAGTCCTCTTGGACTTGCAACTCCTGCTGAAAGAGCATGGTGGAAACCAAAACCAAAACAGCCTTTGCCCGGTTTCTGATGGTGTGCCAATTGCAGCCTTAAGTGGAACAGGATACACTGAGGACAATCACCTTTGACATCTCTTTCCTTTTTTATTTTTTATTTCTGTAAACACAGAACGTGTACAGTCATTTATCCATCATTTTTCTTTCTTTCTTTTTTTAAATTTGTAATTTTATTAGAACACATATTGGACATTTACACAACATACAACATATAAATAACTTATCATATTTAAGCATTGTTTCTTAGTGGTCTTCCAGTTATTACTTTATTCTTCTTCCCCTTTATCTTAATCTATTACTCCATCTTCTTCCTCTCCTTTTCTCCCCCCCCCCTTTTTTTCCTTTTTCCCCTATAGAGAACTATACATTTTAGTTATCTCTTTACTATTATACATTTCTACCTTCATATTATATACATTTTTATTCCACTCCGCACATATGATGCATCTCTATTTTGTACTTCTATTTTTCTCTCCTAATAGTTATTGTTCTTTATTGTTAGTCTTAAGCCAATTATACCATTTATTCCATATTCTATAATATTTTCTCTTCTTTTTCCTTAATTTATTTTGTTAATCTGTCCATCTCAGTGCATTCTAAGATCTTATCTCTTAGTTCTTCCTCCGTTGCGGTTCTTTCCTGTTTCCAGTTTTTTGCATACGTTATTCGTGCTGCTGTTAAGATGTGTAGCATCAAATATTTTATTTCTTTGGAATATAGTTTTGTAAAAATTCCTAACAAGAATGTTTCTGGCTTCTTTTCTATTTGTTGTTCTGTTATTTCTTCTATCCATTTCTTAATATTTGACTTTTTTTTTTTTGCTGCCGGACATGTCCACCATAAATGGTAATATGTTCCTTGGGATTTCTTACATTTCCAACAAATTGCAAATCATTTTTTATTCATCTTTTAACTTTCATTTTTCATTTTTACTTTTTCGGAGCTGCTCTTTTACCATTTACCTTTACCCCAATGTTTCTTCTTCTCCGCTTCTCTTCCTTCCTCTTTCTCTTCCTACTTTCTTCGTTCTTCCTCTCCTTCTCTTTCCTACTTCCCCTTCCCTTCCCCCACTCCTCCCTTCTTCCCCCTTTCTAACCTTCTCTTCTGCTCCTCTTTCCCCTCCCTTTCCTTCCTCACCTTTGACATCTCTTTCCTAGGCTAGTGTAGTCTGTTTACCCTGGGGCTGCCTTTGAAGACTACTATGCAAATCCAAAATGCAGAGGACTACAGTCCTATGTCATGACAACATTGCTGTGGTATCTGTTCTATCATTGTGTTTCTGAGTGCAATTCAAGATGCCAATTGCCACCTCTACAATTTTATGCGGCCTGGTATCTGGTAGCCTTTCCCAGACTGATTCTAACTGCCCAATTTGGATGACAGAGAGCACCTGCACATCTCTACTGTGAGATGTAATAGGAGAAAATCTGTCAACGGTTTTGTCTTTGGGAGCTCCCTTCCTAAGGAACAGCCTGCCTTGAAGTTACCTCAGGAAGTTTTTAAAAACTCAATGCTTCCAGTAGTCGTTTGGGAAATTTTTGTGGAGTTTCCAACACCAAAATTGATTTTATTGTTCTATTATTTATTATTTAACATTACTTTATTAGTAATATTTATGTAACAGCTAGAATCTTTCAGGACCAAGGCAGTAGATAAAGCTCATATTAATAAAGAAATGCAGCAATAAAGGGGGTTTGGGTGTTAATGGAATACCATGATATGCTTATTGTTTTTTTTAGACTGGTTGGTTCCTCATCAGTTACGTGTATTGCTGTGTATTATATTCTGTTCTGTTTTTGCATTGTTTTTATCTGCTGTAAGTCACAGCAAATCACTATTGCGAATCGGGCAACCGCACTAATCCAAGAAATAAGCAAATATTTTTAAACCTTATATAATGAGTTTATTCTATTGCATGTTATGTGTCCTTAAAATTGATTCTATTGTAGTGATAGTTGAATTAAGAGAGAGAGAATAAATGAAATTTGAATTGAAAAACCACCTGCACTCATTCAAGATATGGCAAATAGATGTTTTGTGACAAGCTATGCTCGTTTATAAATGGACAAATCCATTTGCCATGGCCGCTACTTTAAGAATTGTATGACATTTTCAAAATACAGAGGTTATGGTCACCTCCCTAAAGGTATAAGGATTCCCAAGTCTGACTTTCTACAATGAGCCTGTGGATCAGTAGTGGGAGATAAATTGTCCTTGCTTTAAAATCTGGCAAATTGTGCCTTCAGTATTTACAGAGAGCCACAAGAAAATGACTTATTAAAGGCCATGGGAAACAGTTTTAGATTAAGGATGAATATCTACTTATCATCAGATTTCTACGTGTCCTTTATGTATAATTAGCCAATCAAATCACTAGAGAGTAACAAAGTATAAGGTATTTATGCATAGCTTGGCAGACTAAGTGAACAAGGGAAAACTTATTTTGGGAAAAAAATAATTATTTCCACCGTGAAAGCAAAAAATGCCAAGTCTGCATTGATTTTAGTTTCTTCTTGAAGGCTGGGTTTAAAATAAAAAGAAAGGCAATTTGTTTTTTGCAGATCCAGTTCCTTGCTTGTAGGTCATGCAACAACCTCTGGATTGTTGCAGAGTTATTTGTAAATCCCTGAAGCAGTCAGTATTCAACTAGAGAATTTCTGCCGGATCCTCCAGATTCAAACACTAACAACAAAACCACATTTTGGGGCCATGGAAATAAAATACTACTAGATAGTATTTTATATTGCTCTCGTGAGCAATATAAATCTTTATTAAAACAGTCATTTCGTTTCACTGAGGATAAAGAGTCTCTGTTAAGAATCCCTTTGGATCATCCTCAAGATTTCTGAGAATTTTCCATTACATCTTTGCACTTTGAACTGACCACCCAAGCTGTTCTACAACCATAC